ATGGGTGCTTTCCCTTACCCTAGAGGTGTTCAAGAGGAAATTAGACAGGCATCTGGCTAGGGTTACTTAACCCCAGTGCTCTTTCCTGCCTGAAGCAGGGGTCAGACCCAACAATCTATCAGGTCCCTTCTGACTCTAGAAATCTATGAAATCTGTGACCTACAAATCATTAACTTATCTCACCCAGACTGCCTGCTCCAGTCTACTTGCCCTACCACCCAGAAGCAACAGTGCCAGCCCAGCTGCCTGCCTGGCACACCACGCTGCATGGCGGCTGCACACTTGGCACACCATGCTGCTCTGCATCCCCGCCAGACTCCAATCCAGGACTTTTGATCAACTAGCTGGGACAAGACTACAGAAGCTGGGAGTGTTCAGGTTTGCCTTGAGCGGATGGTCATTCAGTGCTAAACCCTCAAATGTGGGCAGTTTTTTAAAGCATAAGTTTAAGGGCAGTAAATTTAGCAGGTCAAAACCTAAATTTTCCTCAAAATTTAAAATGAAGCCAATTAAAGAAGTGAAACACCAAATTTTAAAGAATAAAATTCCCTTACACTATCTCGTAAGTTTTTGCTTTGTATTCCCTGCATCTCACACATACACAGTGTCTCTTAATTCACCAATCACAGGATATGTTAAGCAGCATCAAATTTATTCCCACCAATATGCATTATAGTAGTTTATTTAGTTTATTTTTGTAGAAATTTTTTTATATACTATTTCACAATGCAAAGCATTCTAGGTTTTACATACATTTAAAAATAAGCAAATGGGAGGAGGAAAGAAAGATGAGAACAAACTACTACCTCAGTATTGGGGTGCACCAATAAAGATTTTCTTGGCAAGTACTGATAGCCAATTATTCACCAAGGATATTGGTTGATACTGATCCAATAACCAATTTACAGGAATGCAGCTGGGGAAACTTGGAGAACAACACCCTGCAGGTAAGTCTGAGGATGGGCCAGATCAAGTCCCCTATGGTGAGAGGCTGGGGGCAGTGAATGGGACCCCAGGGCCAGGGCAGGGGATCAGTAGCCCAGCATTTAAAAATGGCAATGGGGGCACTTGAATTAAAGCTCATCAAATGAGCTTTAGTTCAAGCACCACCCACCACCACCATTTTTAAGCATGGGGACACTTCTAACCAGAGCCAAGGGGACGAGGGCAGATGTGGACTGCCCACTGCAGGCTTGGGGCTCTCTACTCTGCTGCCTTTGCCCTGGGAGCCAGGCGCTGGCCATGCATCCCCTGCCCATCTGGCACAACTTGTCACCACCACCACTGCCAGATGGGCAAGGGACATGCAGCCAGTGTGCAGCTCCCAGGGCAGAAGGAGCAGGGTAGACAACCCCAAGCCCACAGTGGTCAGCCCACATTCACTCTATGCACAAATCCAGGGGGGGCAGGAACATGCCTCCCATGCCTCTCCCTGGGGTGTGAACAGCAGCAGTGGGGAGACATCCCCCTCCTCACCCCCCCCACTCCAGGTTCCATTCACTGCCTTGGCTGGGCAGTGCCCCCAGCCCCTGCCCCACTCCTTCCCTCATCATGGGGACCTCAATCTGTCGGGCCTCCCCAGACTTACCTGCAGGGCGCTGCTCTCCATGTAGCCTGGCTGTATTCCTGGCCATGTTCATGCTGCAGGTGCATGCGTGCACACAGCACTGAAGGCCCTGGCCAGACAGCATGTTATATTTATTGGTACATTATCGATTACGCTGGCCAAAAAAGAAAGCTGATAGCCGATAGTGTTAATTTTCCTTTTATTGATGCCAGTCTGACATGGTGCCAATATATCTGTGCATCTCTACTCAACATGCATTTGATTACACTGAAGCAATATACTTACACGGGCTGACATCTCTGTATCTATTTCGATTTCTGTTTTCCTGGTATTTTGCAACTCTATGAGGATGGTCGTTTGAGTTATGCCGAATTTCCTTAGAACAGCAAAAACACAAATTAATAATAATCTTTTAACATTTCACACAGCAAAATAAGTGTTTTGAAGCCAATTTTTAAATTATAATCTTATAGCTCGTCAGGGTTCCTCTTCACTCAAAAGTCAAATTATGGTTATAGAAGAGGTAAACTACTGAAATATTATTTAGAACCATCAACTTTTTACACCTGTCTAGCTTGGGCAGCTAACAGTGCATGAACCACAGTCACACGTTTTGGTGAGCCTTTAGTCTAACTTGAAATGAGGGATGATCAGAGACTGTTCACATACAGTCTTATCTACATAGTATACCATCCGAAAGCAGGATTTAGGCAAGACTAATATTGGTATATATGTAGTCCACTAAATAATGATACCCCTCTAAGACCCGGTAAAGCTTCTCTCCTATGGCAATAAATCTGTCAAGATAACTATACCTGGTAACTTCAATGCCTAGAGAAGCAACCTGGCAATAGGACATCCAGAAAAATGACAAACTAATCACTAGGGGACAATGGCTGTTTGTTGGATCAAATAACATAGCTAATCATACCTACAACCTGTTTAAGCTGCTCCATGTTGGAGGACTATTTCCATTACTCCAACTGTTAATTCTATCAATGTGATAGAACATGTGGTCCCCAGAGCAGAAGGGAAATATACTGATGGCTTGCCTGTAGAGACTTCTAGGACATGTACATTTCTAGAGGGTTTGGAAAGAGAACACTTTTATTTAATAAACTACATTAATAAGGAAGTATGAGAGAGATTATTATGCCTTGGACCAATGATGGATATTTGGGGCCACTGTTTCACAAGCTTAAAATTCAAAGGCAACCAGGACTGGCAGCTTCAACTAACATAGACAAATAGGAAAGACAACAAGGGGTCTACCTAAATGGTACAAGGCAGCACCATATACACACAGCCAAGCTGTGGGTTGCTAATTGGCTGGAGGGCCACACCCAGAGGGTGGTGGTAGACGAGTCATTTTCAACCTGGAGGGATGTGGGCAGCGGGGTTCCCCAGGGCTCAGTCCTGCACTGTTCAACATCTTCATCAGCAACTTGGACAAGGGGGTGAAAAGCACCTTCTTCAAATTTGCAGACAACACTAAGATGTGGGGAGAAGTAGGCATACTAGAGGAGAGGGACAGGCTGCAATCAGATCTGGACAGG